TTTATTTTTTAGTTCTCGGCGGACACAACATCTTTGTTGGTATGTGGTGCTGAGGATCGAACCCGGGCCGCACGCATGCCAGGCGAGCGCGCTACCGCCTGAGCCACATCCCCAGCCCTGGGATTCTTATTTAAGCCTCATTTATTACTTTGCATTCTTATAATCAGATCTTGGGCTTGTTTTTCAGTCTTGTCTTCTCTTTGCTACAGTGGAAACTGTTGGGCTTTCACAACATATCTTGAGTTGATAGTGGCTGACATGGTTTCTTCCTCAAGGGATTCTCTGATGGTTAACAATAGCCAACCAGCTCCAGAGTTTAGGTTGTAATGGTTGCGGCTCCTATCTCTCAATTGCTGGAGAAATCACCTATGTTGGCACTTCCCTTTCTACCTGCATCCCGTTCCTAATGAGGGGCTGTAGCTCAATAGTAAGTGCTTGCCTAGTATTCATGAAGCCCTGGGTTAGATCCCCAACATTACCCGCACATACAAATAGTGATATTCCAGTATTCCAGGGATTATCAGCACCTCATTTCATACCAACAATGGGGGTTGGCTGTCGAAGAATCAATTTCACAGTCCCATTATGAGGGTCTTCCTCCTACAACTCCTAAATCCCTTCTGGTACCAACTGTCTTAGGACAAATTTCCCCAGAAGCAGACTTGGAGACAAGGAGTGAATGCCATTTATTTGGGTGCGTCCCAGGGAACACCAGTGGGAACACAATGATGTGAGACAGGGAAGGAAGGCAGTCAATGAAGGATATCACTGAACAAGTTACTGCTCTGGGTAACTGGGGCTCACCTTGTTGGGAAACCCTGGGAGACAGAGTGGAATATACATTTCCCATCCAGGGACTTGGGGAACTGGAGCAGTCACCCTATAACTCTCATCTGTCATTGCCTGAGAGGTGTTCATGGAGAATTTAATTCCTTATCATTTTCAACCTGTCTTGAGCTTGGACTGAGAGTAAGCTCTGAAGGAAACTGGAGAATACACCCAAGACATGCCTTATCGGCATAAGAGTTATTTTGAGCTGCAGGCAATTGAGAAGCTCAGGAAGTTCAAGGCAATTGAGAAGCAGCAGCTATAAGAAAAGTGGCACCGCTAGCACCCTGTCCTCCTCCATCTGCCTAAAAGCAGGACATAAACTTTCAAAGATGTTTCTTCTTCCCACTCTACCAAGAAGGGCAAAAGTTAACAGCTGGAGACAATTTAGACCCTTTTCAACCTGGAGATGGCACCAGAATGATCTACAGAACAAGCTTGTCTAACCTCTCTCTACCATTCGTTTCCTATCTATTTGCTTGCTACTCTTGGAAGCCCCAAAACACTTTCCTTTATCCTGCCACTTCTTGACAGACCTAGTGTTCTTTGTTGAAGATGTCATACAGGCCCAAATTCTGAGCCACGTTTTTGAGTTACTCATCTCTGGATACTCCATGTGTTAAGTGTGCAATGCACCTGCTGATAAATTTTCTTTCTTTTCTTGTGTAATTTTTTTTTTAAATTAGAGTCCAGCCATGACTATTGTGGATAGAGGGCTTTTTTTCCTTCCCCTCCAGTCGTCAGGAGAGTAGCTGTGCCTGTGGTGGGATGCGGCTGATAAGCACTAGAACAGTGGAGACAGCAGGTGAGGGATGATCAGCTGTGCCAGTCACTCACCTGTCAATCTGGCAAGTATTTATTTGGTTCCCCTGGGTTTTATTCATTTTAAAATTTTTCTTCTTTTCTTACTTTCTTTCTCTTCCTTCCTTTCTTTTCTTTCTTTGGTCTTTTTTCCTTTTGTGTGTATGTGTGGCACTGGGGATTGAACCCAGGAGCACCCTACCATTGAGCTATATCCCTAGCCCGTTTTATTTTTTATTTTGAGACAGGGTCTCAGTAAGAGTCCCAGGATGGCCTTGAACTAGCGATCCTCCTGCCTCAGCTGCCCTGTGATGACAGGCACACACCACCACACCTGACTCTTCCTCTATTTTCCGCACTAGGAATACAGCAAAGAAGAGAGACACGTGGTCGCCACTCTCCAAGTTTTCGCCTAGCTGAGGAGGCAGATGATAAACTGATAAAACACCAACTGAAGATTGTGAAATATATTCTCAAGAAAATGTTATGTTGTGAGCTGAGCATGGTAGCACACACCTGTAATCCCAGCAGCTCAAGAGGATGAGGCCAGAGGATTGCAAATTCAAAGTCAGCCTCAGCAATTTAGCAAGGCCCTAAGTAACTTAGCAAGACTGTCTTTAAAAGAGAGTGTATGTCCTGCTTTTAGGCAGATGGAGGGTGCGGGGTGCCAGGGAACTTTTCTTATTTATTTTCTTATTTATTTATCCTCAAAATAAAATAAAAAGGGCTGTGGATGTGGCTCAGTGTTTAAGCATCCCTGGGTTCAATCTCTAGTACCAAAAAAAAAAAAAAAAAAAAAAAAAGAGTTCTGTTGTGATGGAGTAACAAAGGGTGAGGAGCAGAAGGACCAGGTCTCTCAGGAAGAGGCATTTCAACCAAGGATTCAAGGACAAGAGGGGAACCTGCTGTATGTGTGTCTGGGGTAGAACATTCCAAGCATAGGGAACATCGAGGACAGAGGAAGGAGCCTGGTGTGTTTGAGTCAGGCGAGGAAGACACAGGCATTTGCAGGGGGAGGAGGGTGGCAGGGGTATCTCTTAGAGCTTCTACAAGAGTTGAGGTTTCGGGGCTGGGGCTGGGGCTCAGTGGTAGAGTGCTTGCCTAGCATGTGTGAGGCATGGGGTTTGATTCTCAGCACCGCATATAAATAAACAAAATAAAAGTCTATTGACAACTAAAAAATATTTTAAAAAAAGAATTTAGATTCCATTCTAAGTGCAAGGGCAGGCTTAGAAGGTTAAAACTGGGCTGGGGATGTGGCTCAAGTGGTAGCGCGCTCGCCTGGCATGTGTGCAGCCCGGGTTCGATCCTCAGCACCACATACAAAGATGTTGTGTCCGCCGAAAACTAAAAAATAAATATTAAAAAAGTCAAAAAAAAAAAAAAGAAGGTTAAAACTGAGAGTGACACAATTGGATTTATCTTTATTTTTTTGCAGTACTCAGGATTGAAACCAGGGCACTCTTCCACTGAGCTACCTCCCCAGCCCTTTTTAAAAAAATTTAATATTGTGACAGGATCTCACTAAGTTTCCCCGGCTGAACTTGAACTTGCAATCTTTCTGCCTCAGGCTTCTGAATTCGATTTATCTCTTGAAAACATTACTCTGGCTGAAAACTCCACCACTTACTCTCTTACCCACCCAGATAGATTATTATTATTATTATTATTATTATTTTAATATTTATTTTTTAGGTGTAGATGCACACAACACAATGCCTTTATTTATTTATTTTTTTTATGTGGTGCTGAGGATCGAACCCGGATCCTGCCCGTGCTAGGCGAGTGCTCTAATGCTGACCCCAGCCCCTATTATTATTTTTAATATATTTTTTAGTTGTGGATGAACCTTTATTTATTTATTTTTATGTGGTGCTGAGGATGGAACCCAGTGCCTCACACATGCTAGGCAAGCACTCTACCACTGAGCCACAAGCCCAGCCCTGCCACCCAGATAGATTCTTGTTCAGTGCTGTGCTCTGGGAGAAGAGTTAGCCTTGGTCCATTGTCCTAGGGGTTGCTCAGTGTCTCTGTTGCTAGGCAGAGCTTAACTCTCCTTGATGCCTCAATCCTGTCCCCAGCTGAGTCCCCCTTCCCAGCTTCACATCATTTGACACAATCCAGTATCCATTTGAAGCTAGTTTATTCTGATTTGCTTTTTAGAGGGTGGGGCTATGGTGGGGTGGGAGGTGGCGGAGCTCTGAAGCTTGGTTCTAGGGATGCTGGTCTCCTTCCTCAGCACTGCGGCGGCCGAAGTCCATCCATCCATATGCTGCTTCTTCTTCCTCCATCCATGGCCCCTGCTTCTTGGACAGGTCTAAGGAAGCAATAGGAGGTGAAAATGAGGGAAAGACACCTATTCTCCAGGAACTGAGGTCAGGGCTAGTATGGGGGGGGACCTTACAGTCACTTTGGTCGGCAGCTCTTACCTGCCACAAGGTGTGGGGGCCCCCGGGGCCCTAGCTGCCTTCGGTCCAGCCACTGTGGCTCCAGGCCTTTATTGGTCACAGGACCCAAGGGCTCATCCTGCAGCTGCGAGCGGGGCTTCCAAGAAGCTTCAGAGAAGGCAGCCAGAGCCAGCACCAAAACCAGCGCATATACACACAGTCGCTGCATCTTGTCTGCAAAGGGAAGAAGGCCCAGGTTTCAGGGTGTCCCTTCTCAGGCCCAGCAATAGGAAGTCAGATCACATGGGCTCCAGGTTAGGGCTCCCACCTGCCGCAGGCCTGTGACTCCCTGTGGGTTGCAGCTGTATCTCGGGTTCCTCTCTCCAGTGCCTGCCAGGTCTGCCCAGCACCCCAGGCCTGGCCTTTCCTCCTTACCTGCTTCCCTCAGAGAAATTCAGACCCTAGAGCAGTGGTTCCCAGACGGCTCTGTGGGATCTGAGGCCATGTTCATGGCTGTGTAGATATTTAAATTTTGTAATTTAAAGTAAACTTTTAAATAGTAACACCAAGGAGCATACACATACCACATGCAGTCACTTTGGAGATCACCAGAATGGTGGCCAGGTCTCACTGTGTTTGTGTGGCCCTTGGAGGAAGGGGCCTCCTGCCTTGTTTGATTAGCTGAGGAATATCCTGTGACTGTACTAAAGTGTTTGGGAAAAATTAAGTTGTTACCACTTGCAACTAAGTTCCATGGTGGATCAAGTTTGGGGAAACCTTAATACAGAACTAAATGGGATGCCAAAGGCTCATCAGTTCTCTGCATTCAGTATTTTTGTGTTCTTTCAGCCTTGTTATTCTGATTGGCTCTATCACAAGTAAATGATAGAAACTTTCTCCTATAAAGAAAAACCTTAGTGGGCTGGGGTTATGGCTCAGTGGTAGAGCGCTTGCCCGGCATGCACGAGGCACTGGGTTTGATCTTCAGCACCACATAAATGTAAAACAAAGATCGTGTGTCCACCTAAAAAAATTAAGAATAAATATTTTAAAAAAGACATTTGTATTAATAAGATACTTCTTTTTCCCCTCTTTGATACTGGGGATTGATCCCAGGGTGCTTTATTACTGAGCTACATCCCCAGCTGTTTTTATTTATTTGTTTATTTTTGAGATTGGTTATTTTGCTAAGTTGCTTAGGGACCCGCTATGTTGCTAAGGCTGGATTTGAACTTGCAATCCGCCTTTCCTCAACCTCCCGAGTCACTGAGATCATCGACATGTGCCCCCATGCCTGGCTAAAATGCTGCTTTCAATGTTTTTTTCCATAATGAGGTTCTCTGGTTAGGTTTCCTTTAGGAGAAAAAAAGAATTGGCTGCTACCGAAACAGAAGTTGAAAAATCAGTGGCCTAGAGCTACACTGTCCAATGAAAGTGGCACATTTAACCAATCGGTAGCTGCTAGCCACAATTAATTAACAAAATAAAATAATACATAACAATAATATAATTAATTTTAAATGCACTTTCTAGAAAAATCCCTCCTTTAGCAGAGTGTGTGGGTACACGCCTGCAGTCCCAGCTACTGAGGAGGCTGAGCTAGGAGGACTGCTTGAGTCCCTGAGTTTGAGACCAGCCGGGCTAAAAAAAACAAAACGATTCTTCTCTCAAACTAGCCACATATTAAGAGCACCCGTGGCTCATGGCTGCCATCAATATGGCTGTCCCAACAGTGCTAATGCAGAACATTTCCATCATCATGGCAAGTTCTTTGGGGCAGTGCTGGTCTAGAAGAGAGGTGGAGATGGAATCCAGGAGTGAGGAGTTCCAGTTCCAGTCCTGCCTCATCATTTGAATGACTTTGAGCAAGTCAGATTTCCCTCCTAGGCCTCGGTTTTCTCATCTGAATGACAGGAGAGTAGCCCTTGTCCTCCTCACCTCCCTGGGCTGGGAAGAGTGTCAGGAAAGAGGGCCAGCAGGGTCCTGGCTGGAGCACAAAGGCAGGTGGAAGACAAGGGCTGGGAATGCCAGGGTTGTCCTACAGCCAAGTCCTAATGATTTTCTGGGCTAAGGGTTGGGTCCCATCCCTGGAGACACCAAGGTGTGAGCCCCAGGCTCTGGCCAGTGGTCTGGTACCTTGATGGTGAGGGACTTGTCAACACTGTCTCCCACTCTCCCCTCCCCTCCCCTCCCCTCGGGGTTTTCTCACCTGCAGAGCTGGGAGGCGGGTGGTGCAGTAGCAGGGTCAGCTCTCTGCTCTTCTTGATGCTCCAGGCCTGCCTTATAAAGCCCTCAAAGTCCCTCCCAAAGCCTCCTCTGGCATGAGGCCAGCCTCCCCACAGCAAGAGAAATGGGCATGGGGCATAGGCAGAACCCGCCACCTCTGCCCCACCCTGTCACGCAGTCTTAGTCAGTCATCTGGGGTTTGGGAAACGGAAGCGAGGGAGCTCATTAGCTGGGCACATGGGGCAGGCAAGTGACAGGGACATGCTCCCCAGGTCATGAGTGGTGGCTCCCACCGTATCCTTGGGGTCAGAGACCTGGTACTCTTCTCTTAGACTATATTCCTTGGGTGGGGGTAGGTGAGAGGAATGAACCCCGTGACCTTAGTTTCAGAGGAAGCCTATTTCTCCATATTTGTTTGATGGCCAGGGAGTGTGTGAGTGAGGAGTGGTATATTGATCCCTGTCCCCTCCACCAGCCTCTGCAAACAGGACGTATTGTAGTTATCAGGAGCAATGGGCCGTGGGTTGATGGCCTCGCTCCTTCTGCAGAGTGGCTCACGTCCTGGTTGCCTCTGAAACCTTTCATCCTCCCCTGACCAGGGAAAACCCGGCTTCTCTCTTCCCCTTACGCCATCTACTTCCCTAGACCCGCTCCCCAGCTCCAGCCTCTTGCAAACCCTCTACCCAGAGTTTGAGGAGGGTCCTTCGTTTCAAGCCCCCCTGGTTTTGCTTTTACAGGGGGATAGTAATCTGCATGAAGCATTCACAGCTTTGCAGTGTAAAAACACACCTCAAAACTGGATCAGTGGGGCATGCCTGCAATCCCAGTGACTCAGGAGGCTGAGGTAGAAGGCTCCCAAGGCCAGCCTCAGCAATTTAGTGAGATCCTCAGTAATTCAGGAAGACACTGACTTAAAAAATAAAAAGGGCTGGGGATGTGGCTCAGTAGTAAAGCGTCCCTGGGTTCAATTACAGAAACCCTCCTTCAAAAAAAAAAAAAAAAAGTCTTAAAAGATTAGCAAACAGGGCCAGGTGCAGTGGTGCACGTCTGTAATTCCAGCTGCTTGGGAGACGGAGACAGGAGGATTGGAGTTCTAAGCCAACCTCAGCAACAGTGAGGCACTAAGCAACTTAGTGAGACCCTGTCTCTAATAAAATACAAAATTGCGCTAGGGATGTGGCTCAATGGTTGAGTGCCCCTGAGTTTAATCCCTGGTACTCCCCTCTCCCCCCAAAAAGATTAGCAAACAGACTAAGGCATTTGCCAAAAATGGCCCAAAATACAAAATGGCACACTTGTTGACTTATTTGGTCAATTGCTACTTGGACATGGTTTGGATGGATGTAGCGGGCTCTAGGCTATTATTTTATTTTTCCAGAGTTGGAACCAGACATTTGCTCTTGTTCATGCGTCATCAGCATCCCCCCCTCCACTTCTGAGGGGGAGTTCTGATGCGCCTCGGGTCTTGGATAAGGGCAGTGGTACCCACGCTCGCAGCCAGCCTTGCTGAGAATTAATGGGTAATGAAGGATGCTGGCTGTGAGGTGTCCATGGCAACCGGTGGCCAAATGTTCTGGTGAATAACCACTCTAATTCAGAGCAGGACACGGTGACTCAGCAGAGGGAATAAATGAAAAATGACAAAAAACAGCACAGACATTGATGATAATTAATTGAATCACAGAATCTCAGAGATGGAAGTACTTTGAGAGGGTTTGGGGAAAAGGGTAGAGCGGAGCCGCTCTGTTTATATCCCTGAGGGGATGGAGATGGTGTTGCCGTGGTAACAGGAAATCACCAGCGTTCAGTACAGCCCAGGTTTGTCCAGGCTGGTTTCAGCTGGTGGACAGGGTTACGGCCCCCTTGGTTGTTCTTGTCCAGGTGCTTGTCGGCAAGTTCCCCGTTCGGCACCCATTCATGGCGGGTGTCACCGTGGGCACTGTCAGGCATGCAGGAGTGGGGTCATCTTCAGAGAGGTGAGAGACGGCCCTCATTCCAGGAGCCCACAGTCATGCAAACTGCGTGTTCTCCTCACAGGGGCACCTGGTCTGATGGAAGGGAAAGGGTCTCCTTGTCCTTCCCTTTTCCATCTTGTTGAGCTTTGGATAAATCTCTCCTGTTTTCTCCTCCAGGAAGTGAGGGGAATGATTTGGGATGGGTCTTGTGATGTACATAAAGCCCTCAACTCAGTGTCCAGAACATCTTGGGAATTTCACTCATTTGGCATCAAGACCCCTTGCCCTATCGAGGTCTCAGAGATACCCACTCACAAAAGCCACTCTCTCTCTCTAAATTGAAGATCAGGTTTCAAATCCTAGGCCCCCAATCCCACATCCTCCCTGTCCACCTGCCCCAGTCATCACAATGACAAGATTGCATGTGAGTCAGTGACCAGCCCTCCCTCTGCATGAATGAACACAGTTCCTCTTCACCATGGTCCTGGGGTATATGGGCTTGTGTGACTCCTTTCCTACAGACGAAGAAACTGAGGCTCAGACAGGCAAAGCAATCACCATTCTGAGTTCACACACCAAAAAGGAGAGCTGGGCCTGAAATCCAGGGCTGTGTGAGGTGTGTCCAGGCAGAATAATGGTCTTCCCATGTCCACAGCCCAATTCCTGGAGCTTGTGAATATGTGACATTCCATGGCAGAGGGACTTTGCAGATATAATGAAGGTTACATGTTTTAAAATAGAGAGATCATCCTGGATTATCTGACTGGGCCCAATTTAATCGCGCAGTCTTAAAAAGCAGAGAAATTTCCCCAGCTACAGATGGAAGAGATGTGGCCATAGCCCGTGTGAGGTCATGGGTTCAATCTCCAGCACCCCAAAAAAAAACAATAAAATGACTGATGTCACTGAAGGACAATTAGAAAGATCATGAGAAGGACTCCCATGCAGTTGCTGATTAGAATGTGGTGGCAGGACACTCAGGTGGCCTTAGGGAGCTCAGAGAGGCCCTCTGCAGACAGCCAGCAAGGAACTGGAAAGTCAGGCCCACAAACACCAAGAACTGAATTCGGCCAACAATCTGGATGAGCTTGGGAATAGATTTACCCCTGGCGCCTCCAAAAGGACTCCATCTTCCTCACCCCTTGATTTGGGCCTTGTCAGACCCAGGGAGCCACAGTGTACCTGGACTTCTGCCTCCAGAAGTGAAAGAGAATAAATCTGTGTGGTTATAAACTTCCGAGTTATGGTAATTTATTTTTGCAATAATAGAAAATGAAGCGGTGTTGCATGCTTGTAATCCCAGCAGCTCAGGAGGTTAAGGCAGGAGGTAAGCTCAAGGTCACCCTCAGCAACTTAGTAAGACCTTGTCTCTAAATAAAAAATAAAAAGGGCTGGGGATGCTGTTCAGTGGTAAACTGTCCCTAGGTTCAATCCTCACTAACTGAAGCCCCCACACCCCCAAAAGAATACAAGAATTACAGTCTTCTGAAGGCTTCTGTCAGTAACAACAAATCCTTCGGGAATTTGCATGTGATTTTTCAAAGACAGACAAAAAGAGATGTTCTTTTTTGTGTGGTGCTGGGGATTGAACCCAGGGTCTTGTGCATGTGAGGCAAGCACTCTACCAACTGAGCTATATCTCCAGCCCAAAGGAGATTTTTTTTTTTTTAAGTTGTAGTTGGACACAATATCTTTATTTCATTTATTTATTTTTATCTGAGGGTTGAACCCAGCACCTTGCACCTGCTAGGCGAGCACTCTACCGCTGAGCCACAACTCCAGCCCAAAGGAGATGTTCTTTAAAGTATTTTGATCTTTTAAATATTTCAAATGAGTTTCAGTTAATGAGCACCTGCTGGGAGCCAGGGTCGAGAGGAGCCCTGTCTGGGATAAGAGGTGAATATCAGTGGGCACTAATATTGCTTTGATGGGGTTTAGATTCTAGGGGCACAAAAACATCACCAAGAACACCCTATGGAGGGCGGATGCTTCCTGGGGAGGACCACAGCCCTGCACACCCAGGTGTGCTCTGCCCACAATGCCACTTTGAGATCGCCCTTGATTAGCTGTACATTGCTGTCAGGGAGGCAGCTGCTCTGCTTCCTGTTATCTTTTTTTTTTTTTTTTTTCAGGGACTGAACTCAGGGCCTTGGGCATAGCTAGGGAAGAGCTCTGCCACTGAGCTAAATCCACAACCCCTG